CTAAACTTCAGTAAAAAGGGACTGTCGGGGGAAGAAAGCGCGTGCCGTTGGTAGAGCTAATTTTAATAAATTTTATGAGTCTCTTAAATTGACTCCTGGACTTATTGCCACTACTTATAACACACTACACGTGTACATTGTGCTATTAATATTAGAGCTATGACTGGCAGTTCAGCCTGTATTCCATGACTGAAAATTGGCAGTCACTGCACCGTAGTCCCTAATGGTGAAACGAAAGCACCATCCCCAAAACTGCAGTAACCCAGGCCAACTAAGATAAAGTTCCCTTTGGATGTGTGTGGGGAAGAGGAATTCACCTTCAGTAAAGCCACCTTTGAAGTCACAGAAATGAGAAAACAACAACTGAGAGAAAAAGACTCTTGCGATAACCCTGAGGCTGATGCAGAGCTACTGGTGGTGGAAGTCCCTCAGGAGAAGTTGCCTTCAGAAACTTCAAAGGTGATAAGAACATGTTTCCCCAGACAAATCCATTCCAGCAGACAAAAGGAAAAGCCTGCAGTGGATAGTCTGCTGAAAAATGAAGGCTCACGTTGTGCATAATGAAGAAAAATCCATGTAAGCATCTATAGCTTTCACAGCATTTCCATCAGCAAAGAGAGCAATAGTCCACCTGCCAGCAAGGTGAGGATTGCCTTTCCTTGCTTGAGGAGCATGAGGTCCTGCAGTTTGGAGCCTAGAGAAGATCTAGCACTGCACATACCTACTTTGTAGGGGCTTCCAGCAATAGAGATGTATTCTGTACATGTAGACTTACTAGCCATACCGAGTATGCCTATCTGTTTTGTGACAAACATTTATACACATCAGAAAAAAACAGCCTGCAGAACTGTGGTCAGAGATATTTCAGGAAAGCAAGTGGCACAGAAAAATTAAAAGTGTCCTCCTGGGATACCTCGGCAGGGTGGGAGAGAGAGCAGAGCTGGAACAGGGGGAAATCATTGCTCTTTAGTATTCACAAGCACGGAGGCCACTACTGGAGAGAAACGTATGCAGCCTCTGCTGTCTCCAAGTGAGAGCTGAAGGCTCTCAGGGGATAACCAGAATTCACCCAGCTGAATTTTTACTTGTAACAAGAGCCAACAATGTTAAGCTGCACATGCAGTCCCCACTAGCTTTTTTTGGTGAACATATATATTTACTAAGGGCCACCCTCTGTAATTTTGAATTTTCCATCAAGGATCATTGATTAAAGTACTTGTGAAGGCCTGACCACTAGCTATGTCTTTCATTCTGTAGCCTGGTTTCCTTAAGGAAAGAAGATTGCAGTGATCATACTGTCTGTTTTCCTGCATTGTTATCCCTTATCCCAAGCACATTTCACCCCAAAAAAATTTCACAGCCTTTTCAAAAACGAATCTGACTACAACAGTACTAATGGACAGTCTTACTCTGGGATTTAGAGCCATTAGTCATTCATCCCTGCTAGGAATTAAATGTGCCATGTCATCCACTCAAACACCTCTTAGCTACAGCCATATGCACAATGGTGGAGTGCTGATGCGTTAAAAGATAAAAGCACCTATTCTCCAGGCATGATCTGTGATGTTTTCACCTATTACTGTAGCCAAAGGCTCTGTCATGTTGCGGTAGCCTGTGGCAATGGTGGAGTGGAACTGGGAGAATGAAAGGTCCTTTTAAATACTTCCTGAGTCACTACACAGTCTTTCGGTAACCCAAATCATTGCCTGATGAGAAGCACAGTAGGAACAAAGTGCTGTGTCAACTTACAACCATGTGAAAACTAAATACTGATGATTATTTCCTTCTGTCTTCTCCGATAGTCATATCAAGGAATGGTGGAGGTACTTTACTTAAGTTTTCTAAACATGTCCACAAGCCACCACATATATACAAACTAAACTGAGAAGAAAATCAAACAGATATAATAAGAAGATAGCTAACATTATTGCAATCCAGTGGCCGCTAACCTGTTCCGAGATCCTCTCCAGCCTAGAGACAAATAAAGAGAACTGAAGAATAAAAAAATATAACATAGCAGGAAACAGCTGCTTCCTCAGTAACATGAAGACAACATGGGTCTAAATGCTAGAAATGCAAACTCTCAGCTGGGAGCAGTGAGAGCAAGAGAACAGGTCTGTGTCCATTTCTGTGCTGAGACTGCAATGAACCCATCACAAAGCACAGACTCAGTGCTGGGGCACCAGCTCACCCAAGGCCTCTGAAACCACAACCGTCCCTTTTAAAACTTAATGAGTGTGTGTGAGAGAGAGAGGCCTCAAATCACAGGCTCAGAAAGAGGAATCCAACTGACAAAAAAAAAAATCAGTAAGAATAATCTCCTGAGATTCAGACAGCTGCCATTATATGTTCTCCGACA